AGTGAATGGTATCGTGTGAGAAGGGCATTTGCGGCACGTAGTATCGTATCTTTAAGAGTATCCCGCACCGATTTTGGATACTTTTATTTGTTTATGTGTTGGATTTGGGTTGGGCTGAAATTTAGTGTTGTCGAGGTATAGGCCAAGGAATTTGCCCTCATTATTCGGGCAAAATAGAGTGTTGTTTGATGTTTAATGTTAAGATTTGCAACACCTGCTCTGCTACCAAACATAATGTAGTAGGTTTTGCCAGTTAAAGTAAGTTTATGTGCTGTCATCCCAAGTTGATATTTTGAGCAGGCTCCTCATCAACCAATGTGTTGAGGTGGAAAGATTAGGGTGGGAGATGAACACAAGTCGTGGTCGTCAGCAAGAGTAATGGTTTCAGGTGTTGGGATATGTTTGGAAGATCATTGATTAAATGAGGGAAGAGCAGGGTCCAAGGACATCTTCCCTGCGGAAAACTCCAGTATCAAGTGGCCGTAATGATGAGGCTGAGTCCTTTATGGAGACATACTGATACTTTATTAGAAATGTAGGATTTAAATATGCAAGGCACATGCCCTCTAATACTACAGTGGTCAATTTGTGGAGTTGATACCGTGGTTTACTGTGTCCAAACCTTTTCTTTAGTCAATAATAATTCCTAGACAACTATAAGAAGTAACAGGTAAAAACTCTGCAATACAACATGGTCCTCGAATTCATCACGATTATACCCAAGCGTTTGAGGAGAGAAGGTGATCATTTCATAATACAGCTTCCTTCAACTCAAAAGAAATTTGCTCAGAAGAGATGCATTGTCTGGCACAAACAAAACGACGGCAACAAAGACGCAAAGACACTCGGTTTATGCGTGAGGAATGTAAGGTGCCTCTGTGCATGGTGCCTTGTTTCAAGGAGTTCCACAAGCTCCAGCAGTTCTAAAACCATGTCCAGTGATTGTAAATATGTAAATATATGATAGAACATTAGTATTATACAATATTTGTGCATGTTTATTGTAATAAACAACAGTGGTAAACAATTAATATGATAAAAACTTTAGTGCGGTTTATTGTGTTCAATACAGTGAGTTTATATCAATTATATACAGTATTGGTCTCTCAGGCCCCAAATGTTAGTAGGAATAGAAAAAAATTGGAAAAGAAAAGAAAAAACAACTAAAACAACAAAATAATATAATACGCGTATGTGGAATTCGTCGATGTTGCCACCACCACATCATTTTCTATAAACTTCTTGGCACTGTATCTCGGTAAGTACTGATCAGATTCTAATTTTTTTTGTTTTATTACCTTCACAAAAATATGCTCTTTAATTCTGTAAGAAAAAATAATTTTTTTTTTTTTCAAAATTTCTTGGACACTGGTGCGTGACTTCAGATTTTGGCCTTGGACCCTGAAAGGGTTAAAATAGTGATTTTTCAGTGTATTTTTGGATGCTTTTTCTGGTGTTATTCTCAGTTTCTTGGTATTATTTGATAGAATGGAAGATATATTACAGATATAAGATGATTCTGATTGGCTTCAGGGCTGGAAGTAGGTTGTAACTGAGCTCAAAGTAGAAGAAATATTCACGTTTTGTCAATATTCCAGGGGACACTTAATTTATCACTCGTCTAATGTGTGTCCAACTGACCATCCAATGTGTGTTCATGAATGTGCTGACATTATTTATACAATTATTATACTAATGCAGTAATAGTAAGTCTTCTATTTTCTGTGTGAATAAAAATTCAAACAGAAAGCAACTGTAATATAGGAGAGGCCTTTGGACATAACTAGTGAACAGAGGAAATGTTTTAGTGCCAGGAATGTCTACATTGTTTATTAATGACCCTATTTTTAAATTGGCATTTTTTAATGTGAAACTGGCAAAATTACCAAATTCTGATCACTTTATTGGGTAGATGAAATAGTTAAATGGACAGTTTCTTATGATCAACTGATAGAACAGAAAGCATACTAGTGAAATAGCTAAGCGTTTGGTCATCTGGAACAATGGAACTGGCCTAAAATTGGACTCAAAATGGGTGAAATCACCAGTGTGTAAACTGGGCCAAGACTGCTACTTTATGTCAGCATAATTCTGTAAATTTGCCATTTTTTTTTTTTTCAACAAGTCGGCCGTCTCCCACCGAGGCAGGGTGACCCAAAAAGAAAGGAAATCTCCAAAAAGAAAATACTTTCATCATCATTCAACACTTTCACCTCACTCACACATAATCACTGTTTTTGCAGAGGTGCTCAGAACACAACAGTTTAGAAGCATATACGTATAAAGATACACAACATATCCCTCCAAACTGCAATAAATTTGCCATTAAATTTTATATTTTTGGTGTCACTACCTTCGGGAAAAGATTCTCTACCATTTCACAAGAAAGTATAATGGAGGGGAGGGGGAGGTTAGTTTCAGATCAGGGGTCTGGATCCCTCAAAAATTTAATGCCTTCAAAACATAAAATCAATTCTAAATATCACCAGAGGTATCACTGTCACTGCTGTCTGGGATTCTATTATACAAAAATAATAAGACGTGTTTTGTTTCTGTACGGTATCTTCTCTTGCCATGATGCCCACGATGTCACTGAAACAACCTCCTTGTTAGGCATTCATAAATTTAGCACATGAGATATAGGCTGCTCCCCCAATATTAAATTAAGTCACAACTCGCATTAGGGATAAATTAATTTGTGTCGAGTTGTCAACAGTTACCCAAAGAGCTGTAAAAATACATGATAAACAGTATACATGTATTAATATGAAAGCTCACCTCTCATAATGAAGGAAGGTCATCTGAACTGTGATGTCAGCACACTTTTGGCAAGACAGTGATTAAACAAGTGATGACAAATGAGTAACTTTTTTTTTTTTTATCTTGCCTCAGTTGGGGACAGCTGATATGTTGAATTAAAAATGACTTTCCTCATATTGTGCCTCTTTTACTGCTTATTATTTACTAGGAATAAGTTTTGAATATCTCCATGGGGAAGCGGGACAGAGACTTTCTCCGTAAGCCATGGTTCCAAAAAGCTACATGTAAAATATTTACATCTTCTCAAACTTTATGCAGAAACAAAAAAGACATGAGTTGTGGACAAGTAGAACAACCTACCGGGTATCGTCATAGAAGCAAAGACTTTTTTTTTTCCAACAAGTCGGCCGTCTCCCACCGAGGCAGGGTGACCCAAAAAGAGAAAGAAAATCCCCAAAAAGAAAATACTTTCATCATCATTCAACACTTTCACCACACTCACACATTATCACTGTTTTTGCAGAGGTGCTCAGAATACAACAGTTCAGAAGCATACACATATAAAGATACACAACATATCCCTCCAAACTGCCAATATCCCAAACCCCTCCTTTAAAGTACTTCCCATTTCCAGGACTCAAGTCCGACTATATGAAAATAACCAGTTTCCCTGAATCCCTTCACTAAATATTATCATGCTCACACTCCAACAGATCATCAGGTCCCAAGTACCATTCGTCTCCATTCACTCCTATCTAACATGCTCACGCACGCTTGCTGGAAGTCCAAGCCCCTTGCCCACAAAACCCTTTCGAGGACGACCCCTACCCCGCCTTCCTTCCCCTATAGATTTATATGCTTTCCATGTCATTCTACTTTGATCCATTCTCTCTAAATGACCAAACCACCTCAACAACCCCTCTTCTGCCCTCTGACTAATACTTTTATTAACTCCACACCTTTTCCTAATTTCCACACTCCGAATTTTCTGCATTTAATTTTTTACACCCACATTGCCTTTAAACAGGACATCTCCACTGCCTCCAACCGTCTCCTCCCCTGCTGCATTTACCACCCAAGCTTCACACCCCTATAAGAGTGTTAGTACTACTATACTTTTTATACATTCCCTTCTTTGCTTCTATAGATAACAATTTTTTGCCTCCACATATACCTCAATGCACCACTCACCTTTTTTCCTTCATCAATTCTATGATTAACCTCATCCTTCATAAATCCATCCACTGACACGTCAACTCCCAAATATCTGAAAACATTCACTTCTTCCATACTCCTCCTCCCCAATTTGATATCCAATTTTTCTTTTTCTAAATCATTTGATACTCTTATTACCTTACTCTTTTCTATGTTCACTTTCAACTTTCTACCTTTACACACACTCCCAAATTCGTCCACTAACCTCTGCAATTTCTCTTTAGAATCTCCCATAAGCACAGTATAAATACATGAGTGGGTGTGGGTGGGTTTGAGTTGGACCTGACTAGCTTGTGCTACTAGGTCAGATGCCGTGCTCCTTCCTTAAGTGGACGTGACTGACCTGAGTAGCTCAAGGCATTGGCTTAAGCCGGTGGAAAAACTGGACCTGCCTCGCATGGGCCAGTGGGCCTACTGCAGTGTTCCTTCTTTCTTCTTTTCTTTCAACAAACCGGCCGTATCCCACCAAGGCAGGGTGGCCCAAAAAGAAAAACAAAAGTATCTCTTTTTAAATTTAGTAATTTATACAGAAGGGGTTACTAGCCCCTTGCTCCTGGCATTTTAGTCACCTCTTATAACATGCATGGTTTATGGAGGAAGAATTCTGCTCCACTTCCCCATGGAGATGAAAGGAAATAAACAAGAACAAGAACTAGAAAGAAAATAGCAGAAAACCCAGAGAGGTGTGTGTAGTATATATATGCTTGTACATGTATGTGTAGTGTGACCCAAGTTTAAGTAGAAGTAGCAAGATGTACCTGAAATCTTGCATGTTTATGAGACAGAAAAAAGGACACCAGCAATCCTACCATTATGTAAAACAATTACAGGCTTTCGTTTTACACTTGCTTGGCAGGACGGTAGTACCTCCCTGGGCGGTTGCTGTCTACCAACCTACTACCTAGGTCCTTCTTTCTTATCTTCTTAAAAAATAATGCAAATGAAGAGAGAAATGATGTGCCTTACCTGCTTAACCCATTAACAGTTTAAAAAAAAGGTACATACATACTGTATATCTAACTAACCTCTGTCTGGTCATCGATGTGAACCTTTGAGTGATATTTCAGTTGAGTATCTCGGGCAAATCTGGCAGGACAATTTTCACACTGGTAGATTTTGTTCAACTTTCTGGGTGTGAAGGTTAGACGACGCTTTCTTCTCTTTCTTCCTTTGGTCTTTCTTCCCTTCTCCTGTTTTATTGGAATTTCATCATCGTCATCTTCATCGTCATCCACAAGCGTATTATCTGCATCAGCTTCAAGGCCCTCTTCTTCAACCTGTAACAAATATCAAAAGAGCTGTTGTAATAATAAAATTAATAAATAATATTAACCAGATTAAAAGAGCCACTTGAGTATGCATCCCAACCTACCATTTCTTATGTTTATGTACACCTACCATCCAACTTACGACCTGCTTGACTTACGACCACTCGACTTACGACCGTGTTTTTTATGCCAAATTTCTGGGAAATAAACAACTATTTGTGTTGTACACAGTGTTCATCCTAAACCTAACAGTATAAAATACAGTACTAACAGCATAAAAAGTAAAGTAAAACATGAAATACCAAAATTAAACAATAAAATAAAGTCATTACAAAAATGTTTTGTTGATATTCAGTAGTAAAGTTCTACTTATGACCATTTCGACTTACGACCGGTTTCTCGGAACCGAACTCGGTCATAAGTTGGATGTTATGTGTATTACTATTATTATTTAAATTTTTTTTCAATGAATCAGCCGTATCCCACCAAAGCAGGGTAACCTAAAAACAAAAGTTTTAATTTTCCTACAACACACACAGCTTACAGAGGAAGAATTCTTTTCCACATCCCCATGGAGATAAGAGGAAATAAAGAACAAGAACTATTAAGGAAATAAAAGAAAATCCAAATTAATGTGTAAATACATATGCAGCAGCATGCATGTGTAATGTGACCTAAGTGTAAGTAGAAGTAGCAAGATATACCTGTTATCTTGCGTGTTTATGAGACAGAAAAAAAAGACACCAGCAATCCTACCATTATGTAAAACAATTACAGATTTCCATTTCGTGCTGACTTGGCAGGACGGTAGTACCTCCCTGGGCAGTTGCTATCAACCTACTACATAGAATTATTTTTTTTTTATATTAACACATCTGCCATTTCCCACCAAGACAGGGTGACCTAAAAGAAAGAATAAACACTTTCATCATCATTCACTTCATCACTGTCTTGCCAGAGACAAGCCTACACTAGTTAAAAATCTGCAACATCAACACCCCTCCTTCAGAGTGCAAGCACTGTATCTCCCACCTCCAGGACTCAAGTCCAGCTTGCTGGTTTCCCTGAATCCATTCATAAATGTTACTTTGCTCACACTTCAACAGCACATCAAGTCATAAAAAACATTTGTCTCCACTTGCTCCTATCTATCATGCTCATGCACGCTTGCTGGAAGTCCAAGCCCCTCACACACAAAACCTCCTTTACCCCCTCCCTCCAACCTTTCCTAGGCCGACCCCTACCAAGCCTTCCTTCCAATACAGATTTATACACTCTCCAAGTCATTCTAATTCATTTTATCCTCTATGTGGAGAAATTTTCTCCAGGAGGGGGGTATCAGCCCCTTTCAGCCCTGAGGGGCCAAGCCCTCTCAGAAGGGGCAAGCATCTTGTTTACTGCTACAGCAAGTAATTGATCCCAGATGCAGTACAAGTATGTGACGTCGTCAAGCAACCGCCGCTCCTTGCAAGACGCCAGTGTTGCAAAGTGTAATTTAATAAAAGACAGTCCATCCCTTACCTTAGCAGGACAATTAAGGAAAATCCTGCTCCCACTTTATTACCATGGTAAAGATAGTGTACATTATTGTCTATGCTTAAGACAGCAAGAATCAAGCATTCTGCTTTGCTTCGTGGAGGAAGTGGCAAGGAAGCAAAAGTACTTGGTCAGCTTTTCCTTTATGTGCTAGGGGCAGTGACGGTGTAGGAGACTGTGGCATCTTCAGATTACTTTCGACTCTACTGAGAGTCACACTGACATCAGGATAACCAACAAAGAACACTGATCCGTGTGTTAGTGTGAACAAAGTGTCTCACAAAACACAATAAACACTTACAGAGAAGTGTGATCAGCTTCTTCAGCGATAAATTGTGAACAATAAAGACAAATCTTGTGGAACATAGTGTACCAGTGTGCGTATTCCTAGACTATGGAAGACGTGGACATCCAAGGACACTTCAGCTTCTATCAAGTCACCGATACCTGTCGAGGGTGTGAAGAACACCATAGCTCACGCTACAAGAGCAAGGTAGGTTACGAGTTTCTTGTAGAACGGGGGACTGCGCAGTTCTTGTGTCGCAAGGAGTTTGTAATCAACCTATAGTCGGCAGTGAGGTGCGGACTTTTGAGTCCACACAAGTACGTACGTCAGCCATCAGTGAATGAAATATGCTGACATAATACTCCCTAGGGGTAATTTATCATACATAACGGTGTGATAAAAGAGAAAAAGGTAGCTTACGAGAGGTTTTTACAAAGCAGAAGTGTTATAAGAAGAGTAGAGTATATGGAGAGTAAAAGAAAGGTGAAGAGAGTGGTGAGAGAGTGCAAAAGGAGAGCAGATGAAAGAGTGGGAGAGGCACTGTCAAGAAATTTTAATGAAAATAAGAAAAAATTTTGGAGTGAGTTAAACAAGTTAAGAGAGCCTAGGGAAAGTATGGATTTGTCCGTTAAAAACAGAGTAGGGGAGTTAGTAGATGGGGAGAGGGAGGTATTAGGTAGATGGCGAGAATATTTTGAGGAACTTTCAAATGTTGAGGAAGAAAGGGAGGCGGTAATTTCATGCACTGGCCAGGGAGGTATACCATCTTTTAGGAGTGAAGAAGAGCAGAATGTAAGTGTGGTGGAGGTACGTGAGGCATTACATAGAATGAAAGGGGGTAAAGCAGCTGGAACTGATGGGATCATGACAGAAATGTTAAAAGCAGGGGGGGATATAGTGTTGGAGTGGTTGGTACTTTTGTTTAATAAATGTATGAAAGAGGGGAAGGTACCTAGGGATTGGCGGAGAGCATGTATAGTCCCTTTATATAAAGGGAAAGGGGACAAAAGAGATTGTAAAAATTATAGAGGAATAAGTTTACTGAGTATACCAGGAAAAGTATACGGTAGAGTTATAATTGAAAGAATTAGAGGTAAGACAGAATGTAGAATTGCGGATGAGCAAGGAGGCTTCAGAGTGGGTAGGGGATGTGTAGATCAAGTGTTTACATTGAAGCATATATGTGAACAGTATTTAGATAAAGGTAGGGAAGTTTTTATTGCATTTATGGATTTAGAAAAGGCATATGATAAGAGTGGATAGAGGAGCAATGTGGCAAATGTTGCAAGTTTATGGAATAGGTGGTAAGTTACTAAATGCTGTAAGAGCTTTTATGAGGATAGTGAGGCTCAGGTTAGGGTGTGTAGAAGAGAGGGAGAATACTTCCCGGTAAAAATAGGTCTTAGACAGGGATGTGTAATGTCACCATGGTTGTTTAATATATTTATGGATGGGGTTGTAAAAGAAGTAAATGCTAGGGTGTTCGGGAGAGGGGTGGGATTAAATTATGGGGAATCAAATTCAAAATGGGAATTGACACAGTTACTTTTTGCTGATGATACTGTGCTTATGGAAGATTCTAAAGAAAAATTGCAAAGGTTAGTGGATGAATTTGAGAATGTGTGTAAAGGTAGAAAGTTGAAAGTGAACATAGAAAAGAGTAAGGTGATGAGGGTATCAAATGATTTAGATAAAGAAAAATTGGATATCAAATTGGGGAGGAGGAGTATGGAAGAAGTGAATGTTTTCAGATACTTGGGAGTTGACGTGTCGGCGGATGGATTTATGAAGGATGAGGTTAATCATAGAATTGATGAGGGAAAAAAGGTGAGTGGTGCGTTGAGGTATATGTGGAGTCAAAAAACGTTATCTATGGAGGCAAAGAAGGGAATGTATGAAAGTATAGTAGTACCAACACTCTTATATGGATGTGAAGCTTGGGTGGTAAATGCAGCAGCGAGGAGACGGTTGGAGGCAGTGGAGATGTCCTGTCTAAGGGCAATGTGTGGTGTAAATATTATGCAGAAAATTCGGAGTGTGGAAATTAGGAAAAGGTGTGGAGTTAATAGAAGCATTAGTCAAAGGGCAGAAGAGGGGTTATTGAGGTGGTTTGGTCATTTAAAGAGAATGGATCAAAGTAGAATGACATGGAAAGCATATAAATCTATAGGGGAAGGAAAGAGGGGTAGGGGTCGTCCTCGAAAGGGTTGGAAAGAGGGGGTAAAGGAGGTTTTGTGGGCGAGGGGCTTGGACTTCCAGCAAGCGTGCATGAGCGTATTAGATAGGAGTGAATGGAGACGAATGATACTTGGGACCTGACGATCTGTTGGAGTGTGAGCAGGGTAATATTTAGTGAAGGGATTCAGGGAAACCGGTTATTTTCTTATAGTCGGACTTGAGTCCTGGAAATGGGAAGTACAGTGCCTGCACTTTGAAGGAGGGGTTTGGGATATTGGCAGTTTGGAGGGATATGTTGTGTATCTTTATACGTATATGCTTCTAAACTGTTGTATTCTGAGCACCTCTGCAAAAGCAGTGATAATGTGTGAGTGTGGTGAAAGTGTTGAATGATGATGAAAGTATTTTCTTTTTGGGGATTTTCTTTCTTTTTTGGGTCACCCTGCCTCGGTGGGAGACGACCAACTTGTTGGAGAGAGAGAGAGAGAGAGAAAAAAAAAAAAAAAAAAAAAAAAAAAAAAAAAAAAAAAGTAATATAATCTTTTACAGTCCGCTGTGAAATGCATGATACAGCTTCTCTAGACCTCGTCTGCAGGGGCAGCTGTGCAGGCGATGAGCTGTCTTTCTAAGCTAAGTTTTCCCTATCTTTAAACATAGCTGGTAAACCATTTCTCAACACTAAATGTCTGGACCACTTCAACAACCCCTCCTCATCCCTCTGGATAATACTTTTAGTAGCCCAGTACATCCTCCTAATTTCTAAAATAGAGATTCTCTGCATCATATTCACACCGCACATTGCCCTCAGACATGATATCTTCACTGCTTCCCGACTTCTTGTTTCAACATTCACCACTCATGCTTCACACCCATATAAGTGTTGGTACCACTATACTCTCATACATTCCCCTCTTTGCTTCATGGATAACATTCTTTGTCTCCACAGACTCCTCATTGTACCACTTGCCTTTTCCTCCTCATCAATTCTCTGATTCACCTCATCTTTCAT